TTTCAAATATTAATGGGCCCAAATATAAAGTATGTAAATAAAATTTGTACAACATTCACACCGTCTCAAATTAGAGTTTTCAAGGTGAAATTATTGATATATTCCACACTAACAAGCGTCTTCTGCCATCGGTGCTCTCTAGCACCCGAGTCACCAAAAGTTCAATCTAACTCTATCTCTACTCTCATGTAAGCAGTATCATTCTCCAGCTTAAAGACTCTCCTGCGAGTTGTCAAAAGTTCAGTCTAACTCGACCTCTACTCTCATGCAAGAAGCCTCAGCCTCTAACTTAGTGGCTCTCTCGCGAGTCGCCAGAAGTTTTGCCTAACTCTGCTCTCACGAAAGCAGTCTTAGTCTCCAGCTTAGTAGTTTCACCAGAAACTCGACCTAACTCTACATCCACCCTCGCGCAAGTAACCTCAGACTCTACCTTAGCAGCCCTTTAGTGAGTCACCAGAAGCTCAGCCTCACTCTGTCTCTGCTCTCATGCAAACTGCCCCAGTCTCCAATTTAACGCTCTCTTATGGATCACACAAAACTTGGTCTAATTATGTCTCTACTCTCACGTAAGCAACCTTGATCTCCAAAAACTCGGTCTCAAGAGGTGCAACTCTCTCGTGAGCCACCCATAACTCCTCCTTTGCAGCCCTCCTTTGTCTACCTCTCCCTCATCAAAGTTCAGCTGCTAAAAGAAGACAATGACAAGATGTCTTATTAATGTTCTCTCCCCCAAATTTAACTAGGCTCAGGGCATGGGAGGTAAATGACAAGCCCATCCTAGACCATGTCCACCACAAAGACCCAATCAGAATTACAAATCAGACCCAACTTAAAGGCCTAGTACAAAAAATATAGACTAGACTCAGAATCACAGATCAGGCCCACCTCAACACTTACAGGCCAAGTGGTTGACTCTGGCTTTCTAGTCTTTCTTCCGCCCCACCACAAGATGGAGGAAGGTAGGTCAAGTTAGTCACGCCATTTTGAGGGAGTTAGATCAATTGCGTTATCATGAAAAATTCAGTCCACAACTGACATGCGAAGAGATCTCATTGAGACCTGTACGTCACCACTTCCATAGAATTATTTCGCCTATTACGAGAAAGGCGGCACCTTCACTAATCTGTCTCACCTAATACGAGAAATGCGTCTATAAATTGTAAACTTTACCTACATATAGGGATATCTCATACCTATCACTTATACTTGTGCACCCTACATTCCTTGAAAAAAATAAAACACTCAAGTCATTTTAACCCTTTACAATAGAATATGTCATTTTAATCGAATCACTTAAATTGTTATTTATTTGTATTGTCTCTCATAATTTGTTACTATATTCAACACTTGGCAGATGGTATATAAACTTATTTTTGTGTATCATCAGCTTTCATACCAAGCCAAGTTTAGACTTCTGATACCAACCGTACCTTGCTTTCTAAAAGCAAAATGTCACTCAGAGAATCAATTGGATATGACCATGTCAAGAGGTGAAAATGATGAAAGCATCAACTTTTTAAGAGTAATCGTGGCACCTTTTCAATTTCAAATGCCCGCCAAAAGCCTTGGCTCTCTGTATCGTGATAGCATAAACAACACTGTTGATCAAGATTTTTTAGTAAATTTTTTATCTCAAATTATATGATATAAGATTTTTACTATTTATGTCACACATATAATCTTCTCTTTCTCTTTCAAAAAAAATACGAAAGATGAAAAGAAAGAAATAATAAAGAATTTTAAAATTTACGAAAATTGATCTTTATGTTTTCTATCACATGTCTAATATGCCTATTCATGGTATATTAAACTCTTCCAATATAATCCTATTTTCATATATGATTCTCACATTAATTACTCATTAAACTCTCTTTCATGACAATCAGAGAGTTTGAGTCAAATTCCAATAAAATCAACCACAAATTATAATAAATAATCAAAGAAATCAATTAAAAAAAATCAAAAAATATAAATTTTTATGTGGCAATGTGTAGGGCTGACCCTTGTAGTTAAGTTTAAATTCAATAACTACCCTTCTAATTCTGAAATTTCACTGTCACCCCCCTATCAATGTTTTGTCGGGTTACGACGTTAACGAAGAATAGATTTACAAAAATATCTCTGAATATTTTATAGGATAAATTTTATCCATACCCTTGTAAATAAGCCTAACTTTAATAACACTCTTTCCTGATTCTAAAATTTCAATACACTCTCTTTTAGTTCTATTAATTAGAATATTAAATTCTATTAATTTAATATTTAAACCTATCAAATTAATGTCATTTATTTAATTTAACACCAAATGAACATTTAATTTCATTAAAGTAACATTCAAATTTATTCAATTAACATTAATTTTTATCAAATCAACACTAAATTAATATTTAACTTTATCTAATTAACACTGAATTAATATTTAAATTTATCAAGTTAAGACCAAATTTATTCAATTAATATTAAATTTTATATAGGAACAATGATGTGTGAAGAGTAGTCGGGTGACATTATGGAAAACAGACGATAACATAGGAGTTAGAAATTGAAGGGATTTTAACATTGATTTTGTCGATTGTAATTTTTACTATAGAAAAATTATTTTTAACTATAAAAATTATAAAAACTCAATTATGTAACCATATGAGCGATAATATGATGACTAATATTATAACAAAGTTATCATACAACACTTTAAAATAATAAAAAATCATTAGAATAATATAATGATAAAAATCACGCTTACTGGTTGATTAGGATATATATAATAGGAAAAGAATTGTAGGTCTTTTAGTCTATTTACATTGCAAAGGATAATTTTGACATTTTCACAAAAATATTTAATCAAATCATTACTTTATCAACTGACAGAGGCAAAAGTTAACGTTAAGGGGAAGGGGGTATCATTGATTTGAAAGTATAAATTCGAAGGATGAGCAATGAAGTGTTAAAATCGAGAGGGATTGTCATTAAATTTAGACCTAATTACAGAAAATGTTGATAAAATTTTTCCTAAAATTAAAGAAGACCGATAATATGAGAGAATTTAGATTAATTTCCGCAGGAGTTAACATAAAAATAGATGACATCCTTTTTTTTTTTGGGGGGGGGGGGGGGAAGAGCTAGATTGATTTCCACTAGCAAATTCAATAAGAATGTTTGAGAAGGCTAAAACAAATATTTGTATATGCATATTGCTAAACCCTTGCATGGTAAGTTTGTAACCCTTCAAACAAACAGTTGTCATCATTTTAGTATACCCTCAAGTAGACAACTTCAATAAAAAGAAAAATCAAGACTGTTCATTCACTGGGCATGAAATTATTTGGCATGATTTGGTTTGTAAGCAAGCATTGATAATTATCTCTCTCATTAAAAAAAAAACGTGTGCAATTATTTTGCTCACAATAGTGATACTTGTACCTAATTTAGTAATTTAATATATTGTGGTTATTAAATTGATGTTCGGTTTTCTTCAATACTAAGTTTCGCTATTAATATAATTGTCACAATTTATTAACTTCTCAAACTAAGTCACAATAGCATTCCTTGAATTTTTATTGTGTCCTTTGTATAGATATATACATGCAAATGTTTAAAATATCTAGATCTCTTGCATTACACTTTTTTTCATTTCACTCAATGGTAGATTATATATCCTACATAGGTGAGAGAAAAATAGTATTTAAACCTAATCTGGAGACTTAATCAATCACAGTTGTTGAATTGAAAGTGCGTTTCATCTAGTATTGAAACTCATAACTAGTCCAATAAGTACATTTTATTAGGTTCCTATTAGGTCCCCATAGCATTGCTCGGATTAAAGTCCTACTTATAAATTATATATCTCAATTATATTTACCTAGCGTTATTTACCTTTAAATTAAAGTGGAAGGGATGAATAAGGAGGGGATATCAATACGAGTTTAAAGGAGGGGGGGTATGCCCCATGGACCCCCCCCCCCCCCCCCCCCCAAAGTTCAAATTGCTTTCCCACGTCCATATCTACTTGGAATAAGAACCCAGAAATAAATACACTGGCCGTCCCAGTGGGGAAAAACCTAGATACATGTTGGTGGGTGTGTGTGTGTAAATTATGTGTATATTAGGCAGCAAACACAAGTTAATAACTGCTTTTAATAAAACTAGGTATTGCCTAGCAAAGGCAGCATATACAAGTATCTTCCAGGCATGTACATGTAGAAGACACCAAAGAAGTGGTCCCCTCTCCTTTTTATAAGAATTAAGAAAAATGCTATTTGTACCTAATTTAGTAATATTATTTGGTGACATAATAAATCATAGTAATTTCAATTAATAATGGGGTCTAGTGTCAATCTAAAAACAGAGAATAATAAGATTATCAAATAAAATCACTAAATAAGGTCTATGTATCATTGCTCTAAGAATAAATAGTCTCCAATAGGTTCACTAATTCTTCAAAGTTTTTTTTCTTTTTTTTTTAATGGGCATGGAAGAAATCAAGAGAAGAGTCCAAGTGAACAAGATTCAAAGTTCAAATAAAATGACTCCTTGACTTGCAAAATGGACAATATAGCTGTATAAACCCATTTCGTACGTTGTGTACCCTTTTTTATATGTATTTACGTACATCAAAACAGATTTCTTCTCCTTTGTTTTTATGTAGTATCTGTTAATCTCTATCATGTTTCTCTACATGAAAGTCACTCAAGTTTGAAATTAATGAAGAAAAAAATCCATTTTCACGTAACGTTTAAGGTAAAAAATCTGGTCTTCTTCTAATGTCTTCGAGACTTGAGTCTATCTAATAGATAGCATATTACCTTTCTTTTGACTGACCCTCCCTCCCTCTCTCTCTCTCTCTCTCTCTCTCTCTCTCTCTCCAAGATTTAAAACCAAGAAATTGTTTACAAGCTCTCACCCACCTTCTTATAAACCTCATCTCTCATTCCATTGATTCAGTGTGGTGTGGCTGTGGCTGTGAATAAAAACATTAAAAAAACAGAAGATCTAGGGAAGCAATGGGTAATGGATATCATCAGAGTCATCTTCATCACCAAAACTTCCATAACAGAAGCACTTTCTTGCCGACTTTGTGCCGAGTATCGATCAAAGACATAAAGCTCTCGAGAGCACATTCATCCTCCTCCGATGACCCTTCATCCCCAAGAGTCAGCTGCATGGGCCAGGTCAAGAGAAACAACAAAGTCAATGGCTTCCCAACTCCATACAAATTCCACTCTCCAACTTCCACCACCACCAAAGCTCATCCTCACAACCACCACATGAAATACACAAAGCTCAAGAGGCTGCTTTCTGGCAAAAACCTAACTGCCACCACCACCACTGCCCCCGCCGCCGCCATCGCCACTAGTAGCGGTTGTAATAGCAGAAGAGGCATGATTATATGTGATACTAGAAGGCCCAGGTTCAATTATCATAATAATGTCCCAGTCAACATTGTTGAATTGGATCCGCCTTTGCCGGTGGTCCGAAGGGTGGAGCCTCCGGCCACTGGCCGTGATGAAGGTAATCTATGGAAGAGAAGATCTGGTAAGATGGCATTGAAAGGTTTACAGATTGAACAAATTAATGTACCTGACAATCAGTACTTACCACCAGCATCCATATGAAGTGAGACTCCAATATTTCAAGGTATTAGTATGAAAATATATTGTAGATGTGTCACTTCTTTTCATTCAAAATTGTAGATTCTTCTTTAATTCAAAAGACAAACATTTTTGTTGCTTCTTTATGCCACAACATTTAATTGTACTAGATCCAAATGTTCTCCATCTCTCCCTCTTTCGGATCCTCTGAATTTGGGTCAAATTTCAAAGGCCAAAATTTGGACTCACAACAGCAGGTCTGAGAAGGTCAAGAGTGAACTAGCTCATCAATTAATTAAGAGAATGGATAAAGAAGTTAATGTCGGGAAATTTAGGAGCTTATAGTTTCGATTCTAATTTTATCAATTAGATGAACGATAAGGAAGTTTTGCATCTAACATCTATATTTGGAGATGATCGGGTAAAACTCAGGAGTCTTAGTTGTCAATTACCGAACGATCGATTGGGTGTTCAATATAGAATCAATTTTCTCTTGAGAGTTAAAATTCAAAGAAAGTCTAATTTAGTTTATTATTTAATTGCTCTACTCCCCCTCCCCACCCCGTCAAAAAAAAGTGAGACTTGTTCTTTCTCTCCGGTGAAATACCAAAAAAAACTGCAAAAAAATTCAGTGAATTATTGAAGCTATTAATGTGATTGATCAGTCCTTTTATTTATCCTCTAGCTTGGCTCTCCCTTGGGCAGCCTACTTTTTAATCCTCTAATTGGCTCGCTTTTGCAATAGTCGGGATTATTTTGTTGGATTGATCGGTAGAGTAGTAAACTCTTTTAAAGGATGGAATATACATTCCTTATCAGACATGCCGAACAATTGTCGTGGATTCGAATACCTCCTACGGAATACATCATACAAAGCTACTTAGATGGTATTTGGATGGCAAATTTTCGTTTTCCCACTGGTTTTATCCATTGATGGTGCAACTCAAATTCAGAATATGAGCTTTGGGGGTGGGGGGTAACATGGGCCACTATTTTTAAGGTACTTGTAGGAAGCAATACAATGTGTAGGCTGACTGTACCTCTGCATCTCTCACCGCTGGCATCGTGCTTGCCATGGTTCACACTCTACCATGATGGATAGCCTATATTGTACCCAAAGCTGACTTTCCATGTGATTGATGTGGTAAAGATGCTCTAGAATTTTTTGTCTATTATTTAAATGTAGAGACCTTTTACAACCAATTTCAACCCGTTTAAACTTGGTGATAACAACTTATGTGTACAATCACTCTCAAACAGCGATGCACGTTGTACTAACTTATAACCTCAAGGTAATACACCCCAAAAAATCTTTCAGAGGCAGCTCACCCCTAAAATTAGGATGCTCTAGAATTGATATCAAAATGATGACCGGCTTGTGTATGAAATGAATGAACCAACCATGCACGTAAAGCAACACATTGAAGAAATGGTATTAGAGCATAACCAAGATAAGTTTGCCTAACAAAATAGATACATTGTCTCCAACAAACAACACAGAGCGAGAATGAAATTAGCTAGTTTGCTTTAAAATTCACATCTAACAAGTGACCTTTAATGGTGCCCCTTCAGTTCAACAAGAGGACATTACCAGGGCTCTATTGTCCCAATTCCAGGTTTGAAATGGTCTTGATGTAGCACGCAATTCACAACCGAAAAGCTCAAAAGGTAGCACATATTGCAGCTATGCAGAAAAAGGGCTACGGCATAAAACATAACTGCCTTACATTATTAACAGCTTTATTGCATTAACCTAAAACAGCTACTCACCAGGCAACCTACAAATTTTCCAGGGGTTGGCTCATTATCAGGGCGCCCCCCGGGGGAGAGACATAACACATCAGAATGTTGTTTCACCGCACTAACTAGTGCTGTGAGATCAACAGCCTACTTCATGTTACAAATCTGGAGTCCACATATGAGTAAACAGCCTTTGCTACATGCAGGAGAGAATAAGCACAGTGGTTATGCATGGAAGAGAGAATAAGTAAAAGCAGAGAAAAAATATCTAAAGCCATAGGTGTAAAGATCAAGACCTTTCCACTCAGAAGCTTTGCTCAGGGCCTCAGGCTTCTTATAGTGACAGAAGAAGTATGACACTTAAATGAATCATTCACAGTAGTACAAACTGAAGTATCATACATGTCTAGAATAAAAACGTGCTGATTAAATCTTGTTAAGACATTATACCAAGCTAAAAAACATGGTAACAGAGAGCTAACAGCTACGAGATCTAGAGTTCTCCAGGTTTCATACTCTAAAATTTTAATTTGTACAGCAAGGGATTAAGTCACAGGTCAGCATGTACAATAAACAGCCAAGCCAGGAATTTCTTCATGAAACAATCAATTTTGCTCTTTATAAGGGGTCCATATCAATTTGCTAACATCAACTTCAAGACCACCTCGGCCAGCAGCTTTCAGATGACGATCCAATACCTTGGGATCTGCACAAATGACATGCTGCCCCTTTCGGTATTGGATCAATTCTAAGCTCTGAAGGGTGGCCAAGATATCCTCCGCCTTAATGGCTGTCATGTCACTAAGTTCCTGTAAAAAGTAACCAAAGTAAATAGAACAGTACTAATGAGGGGGCATAAGTTATGAATTTGGCATCCACCCCAGAATCAATCATTTGTCCAATTTACCCCCATTGCCAACCATATAACAGAGTAAGCCATTTACTTGAGTATTTCTGTTCACACATACCAACTTGATTTTGGTTCTTTTTCAAGATGTTATGTGGACCTTTTCGCAGACCATAGAATATAGAAAGTGATGAAGAAAATGGAGATATCCAAAACATATAAAAATATAAGAAATTACAGTTCCAATGGAAATATGTTTTTTTTTTCCTTCAGCTTTTTTTACTTTTTTGCTTAAAAGAACTAGTTGAGAGAGAGAGAGAGAGAGAGAGAGAGAAAGTGGAGGTTGGGAGTTTGATCATGGGTAACCCCTCATGAGCAACTGCCCCCAATGAATAAGTCCAAGAGTTGCAGTTGAAATGTTTCTACAGGATTATATCAACTGCTAAATCCAACAAATTTGGGCAGATTTTTATATCCCGGTAGCAATACTATTCAAATTTTAGAAAATGTGGAATTCTTTGGAGTCTTATATTGAAATTTGACTATTATAAATTACATTTTGGAATAACTTGTTTCGCTTGATTGATTTTCCCACCGATGGATCAAAAATAAATAATCCTTGCATTATGGTTTTATTTTAATAATGAGTTTCAGATTGCCCCCATTGCACAAAAATCCTGGCTTCGCCCCTACGCAAGCTTCCCATCAATTTGGATGACCCATGCATACATTGTGGTGCTGACGCCATTCCACAGGATTATTAAGGCCTATAACCGATGCAGCAAACAATATGGATGTCCAAGAAGCAGTTGAACCATAAGTAAACTGAGGAGTGAGGACGTCTAATATCCATGACATACCTTGATAGAGATGTTTCCCTTGTGCTTCTTCAAAATATCTAAAAGAACTCGGGTCCAATATCCTCGATAACTTAATAGTCCCAAATCAGAAAGGGGTCTTTCAGGTGTGCCGACTTTGCCTTCTTTCTTTGATAATTCGTATGCTTCACCATGTAGAAATGAGATCAGAAATTATTTGCACTTGAAAATCAAGAAGACGACAAAGAAACAAGGAAATACAAAAGGAAAAATAAGAATTAGTCAAATAATTTTCTTTGAATAATATATACAGAGACACTGACATTCTATACCAAGACTTCTCCATAAGGGAAAATTGTGAAAATGTACATTATACATTAGGAATTTGTGAGGAAGTACCTTAATATAAATCTTCTGTATATAAGTCTTTTGTTGTGTAAATGTTTTGTGAACAGATACACTTTGACTCTTTTTAAATATTTCATTTACATAAAAGCCCTTTCCTTTATTCGTGGAAGATAAGTTAGGCAATTAATTGTGGGATTCAATTTCCTATTTTATTGGGACATTTTCTTATTTTTTCATTCTATTTTAACCGTTTGAATTTTGGAAGGATTCCATTAGTTTTAAAAAGATTTTTTATTCTATCGATATCTGACTCTCACTGTTAACATCTCTCTCCCTATTTTATCTCTCTTTTCCCTCTCTCCCTATTTTCTCTCTCTCTCCCTCTCCCTCTATTTTCACTCTCAAACTCGTTCTTTCTTCCATCGTTATTCTTCTCTCCCTATTCTCTCTCTCCCCCCCTTCTATTTTCTCTCTCTGTTTATGCAGTGTTACATTTAAATCACATTATGTGATGCCCACCCTGCACAAAACACTGCACATGATGTTTGTTTTGTAGTGTGACATTGGAGTCACACTTTTGATGCCCACACCATGAAAAAACAATGCATATGATGTGTAGTTGCATTGTGACATTGGATTCACACTGTGATACTCACCATGTATTTTTTAATCTTTATGTGATGTGTGTCTGAAGTGTTACATTGGAGTCACAGTGTGATACCATCTATGTGCAAACTCTGTATATAATGTCTATATGCAGTGTGACATTAATACCAAATTTGTGATGCACATAGTGTACCAATCCCTGGGTCACATTGTGGTACTTTTCATGTGCCAAAACCTGCATATGTTGTGTGTATACAATAGACATTAATGTCACATTATAATGTCTACAATGGCCCAACTTTGTATATGTATTTTACAAGTAGTATGACATTGGCGTCACAATATATGTGTCACAATTTTGTAGTCACAAAAAATATATATAAAGAAAAAAATAGTCCTTATCTTAGAAAGTGTATATATATATATGAGAGAGAGAACGAAACAGTTCTAATATAATAAAATCTTAAAATTTAAGCATTTTAGAAAGAATTGGGAAAGATTTCAAATTAAGAAATTTAAAATTTATTTAAGTTTTGGATTTAGCTATGTATATGTGTGTGTGTATATATATATGAGATATAAAAAGAGAGAAAGAGAAAGAGTTCTAATATAAGAAAACTCTAAAATTTAAGAGTTTTAATTTTCAAATTAATTGGTTTCCTTATCTGGTTTTTTCAATAGTGATGTGATGATGTCAAGGACTCGAGGGTACTTCAGTCCTTCTGCTCCAAAGTGTACTTTTTGCCAAATTTTTTAAAAATTTGTACTTAAAGTCAAATAAGTTATAAAAAGTGTAACAGCTTCTAAAAAACCCTACAATTAAACTAACATGTCATTGGTTAGAAAGCAGTTCATTTATGCAAGTAGGCGAGTAGAATATTCAGGACTTTGCACAGCCATAGGATGCCACACAAACTTATTTCCCTATATGGGTACGACCGATTGTCACTTGCTCCATCTAAGGAGGTGACAAAGAAAATGGTGCACAACCCATCTAGAATTCAATAAATACTTACACAAAGGGGTACCCCAATCAAAAATCATCTTGAGGAGCTTCCTCAAGTCTAGCTCATGTGACACTAATCACATCCATGTGGAGTAAGGTCCTAGAATTTCTATTGTACCCCCATAATCTAATTAAGCAAGGGGCACAATTGGGTTGTCCAAAATTAAATCATCTTGAATTAACTTTTCCTCAGTAAGTTGGCAGTCCATTTTGAGCTTAGAGACATTTCACAGCAAGATACCATCTCACTCATTATCCACAAAATATCTAGGTATTCATCCCTTAACCCAAAAACAAGTAATTGTTCTGCACACCTACGTACTAAAAACAAATACAACGGAATAGTACTTCTTCATTTTGCTAAAAACAAAGTTCATATAGCAAACAATGGGGGAATTCAGATGGAAAAGTCTTACAAAATGCAATAAGGAATTTTCCATAGCCTTTCCTCTGATAGGGAGGAAGAGTGAGAATGCAAGCCAAATTATAGGACTCCTCTGAATGTTTTTCCTGCATCATGTTACAATGCATGATTAATAGACATTTTATTTCCAAATATTACAAGAATATCACAATTGCCTTTGAAGCCCTCAGAAAGTCAAAACCTTCCATGTGATTCTAATTTCAACATACTATATCCTGCTCAGCAAGAATCTCTGACAATGTTCACCTTTAGACGATGTGAAGAGAAAAAAAGAACATGAAAAATTCAAGATGTTTTAGTTGCTTTAGGTGATGGCTGCATAGCAAGCAAGGAAAATGACATGGTATCAAAAGCGAAATAAAGCAACAGAGTCAAAGCTTACGTGGGAGTTTTTATTAACCTTGCAAGAATGCAACATCAAATAGCCCAAACTACAGAACCAGAGAAGCAACTGAAATTTCAGAAAAAAATTTATCTACTGCTCCCGGCTGGCACTGCTTTTCGTGAAGGCCAAAGTTGACAGAGTTTGCAGTTTGGCAGAGTCAGAGTCAGAGCTTCGAAATAAATTTCTATCACTGTAGTAGGAAGCTACGACTGTGGCATCAAATAGCACAAACTATAGAAACAAAAAGTAAATGAAATTTCAAAAGCTAAATTTATTCTACTGCTGCCTGCTGGCACACGTTCATTCAATGAAGGCCAAATTTGACAAGATAGAATTTGCAGTTTGTCTGACAGAAATTTCGTCCCTATCATTGCATTGTGCAGATTAGATAAGACATCGACATTATGGAATTATAACACTAAAACAAGTGAAGACATTAAGGCCAATACTATCCTTGATTAGTTTTCCCACTGATGAGTCTGATCAGCTGCTTATTAGGCAATTTCTAGCTTTTACAAAAATAGTTAGTCTCCTGGCATACGTTGTTTGGACACTCTAGCCCTATGGTAGTTTAGATCGCCTATTTGATACCACAACTGCATGGCACGTGATATCACTGTTAACTACAAAATTCCCTAGAGCTATCACATCCAAAAAAATAAATTGCTAAAACTCTTGCAGGACAACAAGAGTAGTAATAGAAGTGCAATGAAGAGTCTCTCTAACTCAGTTACCTTGGAGAAGTAGCCAACCATGTGGCATCCTCGATCATCACATTCACAAAGCACGTAAAATAAAAACAGGTCGACATCATAATAGAGGGTCTTGTGATCAAGAAACAATTTTGCCAGATAGCAAAGGTTTTGTCCGTAAACCTTGTTCTTTTTGCCATCAACCTGCTTCAAAGCATTAAAATTTAGAAATTCCATAGGAAGTGTGTAAACCAGATAGGTGCAACTACAAATATTTGCAAAGATACCACATAAAAACAAGAGTAAACAACTCTAGAGGAACATGAATGTAAACAATAATGTATTTGCAATTGCAATACCAAAATAACTACAAAATCATAAGTTTGAATGTTTCATCAAACTGAACAACGTAACTTGAGAAATTCCACAAAATTTGTTCCCTAAAATATTTACTGATATAATGTTCCAACCTGCACGTGGCTATAAGAGATATGCAATCATGATAGAGACAAACTTAAACCACGAAGCATTCAAAAAAATGAAATAACATAAAATAAAAACCAAAAAAAAAAATCTGATGCTGTACCTCAAACATTGACAGGGTACCGCTGCGATATATTTCATCACCAGGGGGATGCTTAAGATCACATTTCTTCTGCAGACATAAAATACAAGTCAGATAACGCTCCATAAGAAAAGCTCCACTGCATCTTTTCCTTCTTGAAAGAAATTCCCTTACATCTTGAAATAACCTACTGGAAAATTAGAAACCAACTAACAATAGAAA